GGTGATGGAATATTACGTCAAAGATGCACAGAGGCGAAGTCATTAAATCGCGGAAATTGGAGGCCTTTTATACGCTCACTTCCGAAGGACATTAATGAATACTCCCTTTCTTACATGAGTGCTCGCTATTGTTGGTGCTTTTCTAGGATGCTTCGGGTGTCGCAGGTGTCCCATGCGCTTTCTGCTAACACCATGCAAATACGTTTCCAAGGTCGAGAACAATGGAGTCGGTGTTACTGCAGTTGCATGAGTGGGGTCTGGGAATCTTTGGTGTCGCAGGTGTCCCATGCAAGTACGTTTTCAAGGACAAGAACAATGGAGTGAGTGTTACTGCATGAGTAGGTCTTGGAAGCTTTGGTGTCGCAAGTGCCCCATGCAAGTACGGAGGACGATGGAGTCAGTGTTGAGCTACCAGGAAAGCAACCTGTGAGAACGCCCTTGATTTTCACTCTTTTGCTAACTCCATCAAAAACCCTCCCCATATATAGGTGGAGATTTTTCATATTGGATAATTATTAACGTGAACGTTAAGACCATGTCTTCCTCGATGTCTTCCTTAAACAAACGCGGCGGCGCGAAATTGAGCATTAAAAAAAAAGTGAAACGAACAAGAAGCCTTACGGTGGTGGTAGTGGCGGTGGCGAACATTCGGTGTTAAGAACGGCATTAGAAAAAAATAAACCATCTAAATTAATGTCATCAATCTCATTACCGAAGATGATGAAGGACACCAGGAAAGGTAAGGCGTACTCGCGCTCGCTTTCCAACATCCATACAGTGTTGTTTTATTGTTTTCATAGAACCACCACTACAACAGCCAACAACAACATGAATGAGTTGGAGGACTTTCTGAAAGAATACGAGGGCATCGTGAGCCACGTATATGCCCCACAAGTAAGGACGATCCCTCCACCTCACGGACAGGAGCAGCAGCAGATAAGGTAAAAATTGTTCATGAAAACAAAAAACAATTTAAAAAAATTAAACAAATTTTAAAAAATTATTCTAATATATAATTGTTTTTATAGCCATCATCAGTATCCGGTACAGATATTAGAACACATCATAATTCCCGCGCCGCCGCCACAGTCAAATCAGCACGCGGGGGATGGCTTACACCAATTTCACCCGCCGCCACCGGTCAATAACACCGTGAACAACAATCACTTTCAGTAAGTTATACTTGTAATATACATTAACTCTATTTTTAATACTGTGCTTTTCTCCTTATTGTTACAGAGCTTCGTTACCAAGGGCGGGTGCAAAGGACATGAATGTTCTAAGAGACATATATCAAAACATCTCCCCAGCAGCAGCAACAGATGTGCCGCCACCACCACCACCGCTGGACCCGCACAGGTGGCACGAGCCGTCCAACCCACAAGAGCTGGCAATGGTGTCCATGCGGTGCCTGGAGCAAATGTTGCCCATTGTTGAAACGAAGCAACGAGATTCCCAACTTCTTACCGAAAGGTTGGAAAGGGAATTAACGGCATCCCGAACACAACAGCAGCATCTCCAAAAAGAAATGCAACTAATAATTAATTATATGACATTTTTAAAACAAATGTAATTGTAATTGTATGTACATATTTCAAATATACGGAATTGATGCAATTGTTATTGTTATTAATATAGTTTACCCCGCCGCAAACTTATCCAATACGTGAGTTCGAGGAATTCATTGTCGAGTTCAAGCAAAAGTGAAACGGGGCGTTGCAGCAACCTACAATGGAAATTATAAATCTCATTTCATGATTTCTCCCTGCAATAAGTATTGTTACTAAGTTACGTACCTGAGTAATGATATTCCCGAATTTTAATTTCCACAAAAATCATAATTATTTCCGTAAGCAACAACACCATCAATGAGAAACGAGTGCAAGGCCACGAAGTACAAACTGATACTGTTCTATTTTTAATGCGCGCGCGAAATTGCAGAGTTTTTTATGTACACGATCTAAAGGAGGCCCTAGACGGTCAATTATTTTGATCAAAAGGTTCATTCAAGCGTGATTAACCATCAATATGTCAAATATCACCTACTTATACCCCGCGGATGTGGTTCTAACAGGGATATTGCCGATGGGAAAATGAATAAACACCCCTTTGTACATTTTTTTTTAATACACACAACTTTACATATACTTAGTCACACAAGGAAATAATCATTTTATTTACATCATCATTGGCCTTATCTCATGCACACAAATCGCCAGTAGATCTCACAACATCAATTTTTCCATACGGCGCCAACAACCCAAAATTTCCACATTCCACTTTAATTTTCATTACCAGCTCGTCAATTCTTTTTTTCCGTTGCTGCCGCTGCTGCTGCTGATGATGATTATGAACAATGACTCTTGACATCTCGTCGGTTCTTTTTATTATGGACAAATGTCTATTCCAATTAACACCTTATATTACACCCAACGGGCTTGAGCCGCCCCCCCTCCCCCCCGCGAAGAACACAAACAATACACTCCTTTGTCTCACACTCGACTTGAAATCCCAATGGCCTTCACCATCACCCCTCTTACCACGCTTGAGCCGACACCCCCCCCCAAACAAAACACCTCTTTTCTTCTCAACACTCGACCTTTGAATTCCCCCCCCTCCTTAACGGCAATACCACTTTGACCTTGAAACGCTAACACTTCACTCATATGGCACTTTTCAATGTAAAGTGAGCCAGGATCGGCCTTACTATACTACTTATAGAAAATATGCCGCACTTCGACCACTCAACGCTTCCAGCAATCGCTTTCTATTATTCTTATCTGACTTCTATTAGAGAAAATTCATAGATATACATACCTTTAAAAATAAGAACCTATCATCAGGAGCATCGATTAGAAATTTTCGTAAATCTTCGTCCGTAAACACCAAAGACTTTTTTACCTCATATTCCTTGTTAGTACAATAACGGGAGTTCCTGAACTGACGTTTCCAGGAAAAAATTCCCGAAGTTTTTTTCTCAACGATTTTATATGTATTTTGAACCGCTGAATCCGAATTTTCACTTTGCTAACACGCCAGAGGTGAGCTAGCTAACTGCGGCAGCCGCAAAAAACCGCAAATTATTTGCGGCATTTTTACATTTTCGCCTATAAATCAAAAGAAAAACTACTCTATACAAAATTGTAGTCCGCAAAATTTTATACATTTAACATGTAACAACCAAATCTGTAGGACCAACCAGACCGCCGCCAGCGGCCGCGCCAAAACGGCTACTTTTCGCGCAACTCTTGGAAAATGCAAAAATAGTGCTCCGACATATCTATTTAATATAATTTTTCATTTCTTATCAAGTGGTGGTATTGGTTTTTCATTTACATGCACTTTTTGACTTTGAAAAGTCACATGTGCTAACCGCAAAAGACGCAAAATCATCAAAGTGAAAAAAAACAACAAACAAGTGAGTAGTTTGATATGTCTATCCCACTTTTTAATCTTTAACATTGCCTGCAATTTTGAATGAATGCACCATACCGTTGAACATTTATATGTTATATTATATAGGCGTTTTTTCGCGAGATACCTTTTATTCAACGGTATCTGAAATTACTCTGGTATCTGATACCGGTGCGTTTTCGCGAGAGTAAAATTTCAATGTATGACGTCATTGTACGTCACCGTTTAAGACCTGGTTATAAAATTCAGTTCAACAGGGGTATACTTGTTGATAATTTTCGGTCAAACTATTCTAACCTAAAAATATTTTTATTTACGTTTAAAAGTAGTTGTTTTTGTAATGGATGCAGTCCAAACTTATGAGTTTACGCTAAACTATTGTGGGGAGGATGTTACGGTGCATCATAATGATTTAGACACCATTTCAATTTTATTAAATGGTGGGTATACCAATAATTCGGTTTCAGAATACGAAATAACTTATACTTGTAGATCCTGTGGCAGCTGAACAATACTTAAGGACAAATGGACTCATTAATACAGACACTACACCCTTTTGTGAGGAAACAGAATATTTAGATACCGCCGAGGATACCGCAATTAATCACACTCCAACTGATCACACCTCAGAATGCAGCAGTGTTCAAGCAACGTGCAGCTCTAATAATAACAGTAAGTGCAAAAGAAATGAGATATCAAAGTGTAATACCTTCTATTATATCATTTCAGATGCAAGGTTGTGGAGTAATAAAAGAAAAATGACCGAACTAGATATTGAAGCCACAAGTTTTTTCCTCGGACAGAGGCTAAAATACGCTAAGTCATTTGACGACAAGAAAACTAACAAAACGTCGCTCTGGTCAAAAATTGCGAAAGAATTAAACGATAATGGGTACACGGTTGGAGAAGGAAAAGAGGGGGCAGAGAAATGCAGGCAAAAGTTTGCGAACTTACAGCGGCAATACATCTCTCACCGAGATCATATGAAAAGGACAGGAGAAAATACCAAAGATCCCCCAGCTTTTTTTGACGAGATGCATGGAATCTTAGGGGCAAAACATAAAGTTGATCCAGAATATGTTTTGGATTCTAGCAATATAAGTGCGCCCAGTAGTGAGGTTGAGTCTCAAGAATCGATTGAAGCAAATAACGAGGATACACAGATCGAAAACGTTTCATCGCCGGAGAGCGTAGAATCGTTGCCCAAATCGGGGAACGTAACCCCCACTTCCATAAGGAATAGATTTTCAGCTGTAAAGAAAACGTGCAAACCTGTTACAGACAATGCAGTATCTTTAACCAAATTATTAGACGATCAATTTAAGGCCGATTTGGCTCAACGAGAGCAACATTTTCAACGTTTAGACGAATTGCTTTCTGTACAAAATAATCAAAGAGATAGAATGCTGAAGCAATTCGATGAAATTATCACATTAATTAAAGATAAGAAAAACAAAGACCCTCAAGAGGAAGCATAAATTTTATATATTGTTTGTTGTTTAGTATAGGCACAACCAGGTTATCTGTGGTATGGGTAATGTAGTACGAAATAGTTACTCTTTTATTAGTTATCGAGAGATCTCATGTTATTTTTTATCTTTTTTTATTATAATCAATCGTTTTTATATTACATTATTTGATAAAATATTTGCTATGCGTCCTCGTTTTTCTTTTCCTAAGGCAAACTGTTGTCTATCAAAATCCCTGTGCAGCACACCGTCCTCAATCGTTTGTTTATTATCTTCAAACTCTGTTGTCCATTTGTCGTGGTTTATGTAGCAAAAATTGTGTAGAACACATGAAGCACTTATAATTTCTACAGATTTGCTTATGGAATAGCAATTAATAAATTTTAAGCGCCGAAATCTCCCCTTTAGAATACCGAAAGCATTTTCAATGCAGACGCGATCAGCACTTAATAAATAATTGTGCCTTTTCTCTATGCTGCTCAGATTATTATGTTTTTTAAATGGAGTCATTATCCACTGCTTTAAAGGAAAAGCGCTATCTCCTATTAAATGATGTTCTGGAGTAGGAAAGAACTTCTGTGATCCATATCGTTGAATGTAGGACACCAATGGCGACGCAGAAAAGACCTACATTATATTAAAATGTACTATGTGTGGTGTGTAATACTACCAAAAGAAAACCTTACTCTAGAATCGTGGGCCGAGCCGGGATATCCTATAAAAACATAGGTGAAAATTTTTCCAGAGGAACAAATTCCCATCAAGTTGATAGAGTGCTGCTGGTATCGATCAGCATAGCTTTCGTGCTGTGATTCAGGAACTGTTACATTTATATGGCAACCGTCAACTGCACCCACAACACCTACAATATTTTAAAGTGGAAGCCAATTAATAATTATTTACTAACAATACCTGGATAATTCTTGAATCCACTGACAATGTAATCAAACTCTTCTTGATTTTTGGGCCAAACAATATACTTTGTTTTTAATAAATTTGTGATGTACAAAAAAATATTCACTATGTTCATTACAGTTGAAGATACTACACCAAAACGATCAGCAATACCATGTAAAGTATCTTGATGACCCAAATACCATAAAAAAATTAGGAGACATTTTTCGGGATCAGTTGGGTAATTCCCTCCTCGATATTTTTTCCGAATTAAACAAAATCTATCATATTTAATGAGTTCCTGGAGTAGAATATAAAATGTATTTTTTCTCAGACGAAACAATTGAAAAAACACATGCTCGTGGTACTGGTGCAACCACACATTGTGATTAACGTTTTGCTTTGCATGTTTATTCCGATGTCTGAGTAACCCAACAATTTTTGTGGCCTTATTGCGGTAAGTATGTATATAGTTTGTCATTATCTGAGAGTGCTCAGTCTCCCACATCATGTCAATATAAAACTTTAAATAATGATTTAATAAGAGAACTGGCTCCATTATGAAGTATTTCTAACCTAAAATCGATCAGCTGACTATGTTGAAACCACATGAATAACCGTCCCATTTTCGCGACATACAACGGTCACAGTGAACGCTAATAACCGATCGGTTATATCATATAAGACCGGGTATCTCGCGAAAAAACGCCTTAAATTTGCCCCAGTGATCACATGACCTTTTGCACTGTATGTTCTGCTCACTCCTGAAACGGATAATCGAACGCACCTAAAATATCAGATAATATCCCTAGACATGGCTACCAACAAAAACATAGAGTAATATCCATTATTGTAATACAATTTAGGTAGCGTTCCATTTAAAATAGCCAAGTTGTGTCTTTGTGCTTTTACTCCGAGTTTAAAAATGTTTTTTTGAAAACACCAGGGTACCCTAATGCACACTTGCTTGTAGAACGCGAACAAAATGAACTTCAAAAGCGCCCCTGGTGGCATTTGTACTTTAGTACTTTACATTTTTGAAACATTACCAAATAAGTTGGCAAAGACATATCTTGTCATTTACAAAAATATATATAATATATTCCATACTTTTCAGACACTGTATAAATAGCCCTAAACAAAAGTTGTACTACCAAACGACATATCTTAATGGTATTTTCACCATTAAGCCGTACTGTGGTAAATGTAATCTGTCCCTAATTATCAAGACACACCGGTAATTACAATACAGGTGCATTAGATTAGGGAATAGCCTCGGAATATAACGAAAGTACAAACCTCCTTGTTGTTCAATCTTTTTACTTTCGCGTGCCGCCTTTCGTTGATCAGCTAATAAACTAATTTCCATAAGAGCCTTACTCTGTTGTTCCGTAAGGTTATTGGTTAAAGCTTGATACCATTCTGGTTCTGTACTTTGTAGTCCTGAAACAATTAACATGAAAGCTCAGAATACAAACGCAAATACTCACTTTGCATGACTTCTTTAAACACAAAATATTCATCAATTTCGCAATTATCTTCGTCGAGAGGAGTGGTATAAGTTTCCAATGCGGTTTCCTCATTGGGTTCATAATCTGAGTCGGAATCACTATCTTCCTCATCGTCGTCTGTGATATTCGCTGTGATTTGCAT